GCATATTTTTCTGGGTGTCACATCATGTCCGAAATATTCTAACTTTTCCTTTTAATGGTTTTGATGATTTCCCTTGGCTTTCCCCGGCGGCATATCACAATATTGTCCCACAAACATTTTATGATGAAACACTGTTATTTGGGGGTTATGTATGTTAAATTAAAACAAAGCCAAATGTGCCTGCACACATTTTACAGTGCCGAGTTTTTAGGCATTAAAAATTTATAAATTTTTAGTGCCTAAAAATTATATCCTAAAGAATTTTAGGATATAAATAAGGTGAATCTTTTATACATTTTACAGCTAGTATTTAGTTATTGTTGTAAGTCATCTTAAGGACTCTTAAGTCCTAGTCATTCTGCAGCATATACATTTCATAAGCCATAAATATTAATAAATAATTGCATAATAAATATCTGTAAGAAGCTCATATTAATGATACTTTCAATAAACCAATTTCTCTTACATATAAATGAAAATGTAATTAGTATCACAGGTTTTTTAACCAAAATGTATTTTTCAATAAATATAAGCAGCTCATATTTATGATGCCTTGCTATTACTGTTGCAATAGCAGGAGAAGAATAAATCAATTTCATTCACATATAAATGCAAATAGACCTAAAATCACAACTTCTTTTAAACCAAAATATATTATTTAAAATCCATGCTCTGACATTATGATTGTTGTTGTTGTTGTTGTTGTTGTTGTTGTTGTTGTATACTTTATTCATTAAACATGAAATTCAGTCAACTGAGTTTTTATTATCATTATTGTTTTTGTTTTTATTATTATTGTTGTTGTTAATTATTTACTTTATTTATTAAACATGAAACTCAGCCAACTGCACATTCAAAAATGCATTACATATACCATTGACTGGCGCTGATGGTTGATACGGGTTGCTGCCAGTGTCCTAGGTATCAACCAAGGACCTTCTTAAAATATAAGATGTTCCGAGTAGCACAGTTTTTTGCAGTTCTACTGGTGTTATTGCAGGAAGCTGCAATTTCTTGATGTATCTTGTAAAATTCTTGGACACGGTGCCAAGTGCCCCGATGACAATGTGTATTACTGTTACATGCTTCATCCATAGCCGTGNACACACACACACACACACACACACACACACACACACAAATAGGCCACCCTTTTACAGTTTGGAGGCTACTTCAGAGTCTCTCTCTCTTTCTCTCTCTCTCCCTCATCTAATGAAAATAATTTTCATGAAGGCTGAAATCAAAGGCCCCAAATCTCAACTAACAACAACAACAACAATAACGACAGTGACTGTCAGGGATCTTGTAAAACTGAAACAAAACTGACAAAGGGAGGGGGCAGGGGAGGAAGACGATGAAGATGAAGAGGAGGAGAATTGCTCCCCCTCCCCCCCAAAAAGGACTATTCTGCTTTTGTTATATGAAAGCTTAGAAGAAAGAGTGACCTCCTAAGGCAAAGGTTTTGACACTGCATCAAATCCCTTTAGGTTTCAGTTGGCAGGCTAGACTTGGCTTTAAATTACTTTATCAGAAGTCGAGAAGGAGGCCTTTACGTGTTCCTCAGGGGGTGCCTTGCATATAAAGAGCTGGCTATTTTGCCACATGCTTTCCCTCAAGTCAATCTTCAAGGCTTCCCCAAAAACGAAAGCTTGTCTTGAAGATGGCAGCGAGGAAAAGCCAGACAGCGATAAGCATTAGCAGCTTCTAATCTTGGCTGTTGGTTATTTTTATACTCGTACAGAAAAAAAGAGAGGAGAAATGGAGAGGGGGGAGTGATGTGAGAATGGAAGGCATATCCAACATACTCTTGAGCACCAAGAGTGTGTATGTGTGTGTGTGTGTGGGGGGGAGAAAGATAATTTTAATTTGTGTCAGCAAGGAGCAGAACACAGAGTACCAGTGTTAACGAGGGTTCACTTGTAAGTTGTGGTCTCTCAAGGAGGAAAGATGGACAAGTTAGCTGGTTTGTTGAGGAATGGAGCATTGTTGAGGTGGAGCTTGTTGAAAAGAGACTCCACCTAGAAGTAAGATATTTCCTGATAGTCAGAATGATTAATCAATGGAACAACTTGCCTACTAGAGTTGTGGGTGCTCCATACTGGAGGTTTTGAAGAACAGAATGGACAGCTGTTCGTCCACAGTGGTATAGAGTCTACTGCTTGGGCAGGGAGTTGGACTAGAAGACCTCTGAGGTCTCTTCCAGCCCAATAATTCTATGCTCAATGTTAGATTGAGATGACAGGGCCAGATTATCTCCAGTGATATCTGCCTGATATTTCTTTCATTTTTGGCTAGGGTGTGTATCTTCTCTCCACCAAACAGAACAAAAGAGGTGGACGTAAATAGGACATTAATTCATTTTTAGGTCATGTTGTTGAACTGGATATCATTCTAACATTTCAAAGCAAGCCCAGGTTGCTTTCAAACAGCTAATGTGAACTTGGACCTCTGAGAGGCTGTTATCATAATGTCCCTTTTGGACATTATGTCTGTCCAATTTGTGTCTGTCCAATCTGGAATGTGCCAGTTCCACCAGTTTTGTTTCATGATTCTCTTGGTTTTCTACACCGGTGCTCACCTTTTCTCTGGACGGCTGAACCAGCCAGATGCAGAAAAGGTATATTTCTTGCCAGAAGAACTTCTTCCTTGAAAGATATCAGGTGATTGCTAAGTTTTGCTGAGTGACAATCTTATAAGATTTAGTCAAATATTCATTATAATAGGTAGGTACTTTTATATTTTATTCACCAATTATTTTATTACTATCATAAAGTATTTTAAGTATGTTTATTTACATAGTATATCAGTTTGGGGTCTTTAATGGAAATAAATCAACTATCAACTAATATAGGTCAGAGAGAAGAGAAGAGAAGAGAAGAGAAGAGGGGAAAGGGCAGGGGAGAGAAGAAAAGAGCCAAAGGGAAGGGAAAAGAAGAAGAGAAGAGGGGAAAGGAGAAGAGAGAAGAGAAGAGAAAAAAGGGGGAGAAAAAAGAAGAGGGGAGGGGAAGGGAAAAGAAGGAGTGAAGAGAAAAGGTCAGGGGAGAGGAGAGGAGAGGAGGGAAGGGAAGGGAAGAGAAGAGAAGAGAAGAGAAGAGAAGAGAATGGCTTTTGTAGAACAAGAAAGATGCTCCTTAGCTTTCAAGATGCATTATCTTCTACCTTGGACAGGGACATACATATCTTCTCATACTTTGCACCCATCGATTTTCTGAAGTCTTCCAATTTGCTCCTACTCCTATCTGAATTCTCTCNTGCATGGAAAGATGGTTTATTGTTGGACAGGACCACAGGGGCATAAGAGCTGAGGTGGCGCAGTGGTTAAATGCAGCACTGCAGGCTACTTCTGCTTCCGCAGTTCGGCTGTTCAAATCTCACCGGCTCAGGGTTGACTCAGCCTTCCATCCTTCCGAGGTGGGTAAAATGAGGACCCAGATTGTGGGGGGGCAATATGCTGACTCTGTAAACCGCTTAGAGAGGGCTGAAAGCCCTATGAAGCGGTATATAAGTCTAACTGCTATTGCTATTGCTACCACGTTATTGCAATAGAGTTTGGACTGAACAAATGTACCACCCTTATAATCAACAGGAGACAATATTGAAAATCGAAGAAATCAAGATGACATATGGAAATAACATGACTCTGGATGAGGATGGCAGAAGATAAAATCTGTAGTTCAAGGTTGAATTATGGGATCTTTGGTGTTCTCTGAATTTCACTGATAACACTGATGATGTTTCCTAGTTCTGTAATGAAACATCTGCAAGAAAACAACTAAGCTCAGAGAGCACCAGAGGCCTTCATTGTGTGGACAAACATTACAACTGCAGCACCACTTGAACACCATTGGTATCGCCATCAGTCAATTATACAGTAACTTTACTTGGAAGAGCTTACTTCCTGCGATGATACTTCTAACACTATCAAACATAAACATCTGCTTATCCCAGGTCCTTGGGAAGTACTCAATAGGTGGATAAAGATGTTAATTCAATCTAAACATCTGGCTTATTGTGTAACAAATAATACTATTTCAAGCAAGTTATTGGAACTAATAAAATTAAGGACAGAATTGAAAAATAATCAAATTTATTTTGATTTGCAAATTGTGCAAAAAGCAGAACAATCGATAGATCATATGCTCAGTTTGTACAAGAAGATTACACAAATTGATTCTAAATAAGAAAAAAATATAGTCATCAAAATGACTCATTGTAACATCTGAAAAACTGTTCATGTATCAGTAATGCAAAATTGATTGGATCATATAGTTGAAAAGTAACTGAAAATGAGCAGGTTAAAATATTGTGGATATCTGAATAAAGATTAATAAAGTCTGGGCTCATAATCACAGATATAACTGTGGTTGAAAAGAAGAACGTGTGAATAGAAGGGGATAGTAGAATAGAAGATGAAGTGTTGAAGAACATTACAAAGTATTAAGATCGGAATATAAAAATTGAAACATTATGCCATAAACAGATCGTGTGGTCCCAGTGGCTTATCTGGGTGCCATATAAAAAAAATTGGATGGTACTTAGAAAATCTGTCCACTGACAAAATTTCCATTTGTTAATTGCAAAAGGCCAACTGCTTGGATTTGCACATCTACTACAACATTACATCACAACAACATAGACTTTGGGAAAGAACTCAATGCATATGAAGATTAATAACAACTAAAGAACTGGCTGCTGTGACTTTATATTGTTGTGAACAGAATAATGTAATATGTAATTTTTTTTCTTTTGTTCAATCATGTCTGATTCTTGAAGACTGCCTGGACAAGTTTCTTGGCAAGATTTTTCAGAAGTGGTTTGCCAATGCCTCCTTCCAAGGGCTAAGAGAAAATGACTGGCCAAATGTCACCCAGCTAGCTTTGCTTAAGGCAAGAGTCTCCTGGTTTGTTTGGTTTTTTCCCTTGATGGCTTCTAATGACTACAGTACAATGAAGTACAGTATAGTACAGTATAAGTATTTCTTTATGAACACATAATCTTACCTGATCTTCTTCTCCACCACCTTCTTCATCATATTTGAGAATATTGTCTCTCACGTCATCTTCTGGATCTATGAGTAACTGCTTGGCCTGACGTTCTTTATCACGGCGTTTCATCCAAACCACAAACATTAGAACTAGAACTAGATGAAGTGCAGAAGAAAGTGAGAGGTTTATTTGCTTCTTCTTATGTTGCTATCTTTAAAAATGCAAGAAATGAACACCTTCAGCGTTCAGGAATTTATCTGCTTCAACTTGCAACTTAAAGGAAAGAAGCAGTAAATTCCTTCTAATACATTCCCTTGCAGCAGGGATCCTCAAACCTTTTACACAGGGGGGCAATTCACGGTTCCTCAGACTGTTGGGGGGGCTGGACTGGCTGGGTGGGCATGGGACTGGGTGGGCATGGCTAGGTCATGTGACTAGGTTGGTGTGGCCAGTTTAACAGTCCATTGAACAATGCAGACCAACTAAACTTTAATTTGTTGTGCTCCTGAGGATGTTTTAATTGCTTTTGTTTGCAAATTGCTCTTTTGGTTGCCTTTTCTTTTTACTAGATCATATTTTCAGTTGTTTAGGAGTCTAGTGGTCCACATCAGAAAACTCAGTTTTACAGCACTTCTTCTCAGCCACATGGAGCTTGGGAAATCTCTCTCAATCTCTCTTCTCAATCTCTCTCTCTCTCTCCTGGAGGTGGGGACGGTGAAAAATGGGCCATTTTTGGGCCTCCTGGGGTATCCGTGCGCCTTATTTTTCACCCCCCCTGCCTCCGGAACATCTCTGCAGGCCAAAATTGTTGGCCTTACTTTTCAGTTCAGTTCTTTTCAGTTCAGTGCGGGGCTCGCAAAGATATGTCCTGCGCTCGGCCAAAGGGTGGGCAGGGCAATGTGGGCGGGGCAGCCTTGTGGTCCTGTGCGAGACAGATTAATGGCTTTGGTGGGCCACATGCAGCCCACAGGCCGTAGTTTGAGGACCCAGGCCTTACACTATATAAAAGAGAGGTCTTCAAACTTGGCAACTTTAAGACTTGTGGACTTTAACTCCCAGAATTCTCCAGCCAGTTATGCTGCCTGGAGAATTCTGGGAGTTTAAGTCCACAAGTCTTAAAGTTGCCAAGTTTGGGAACTCCTGATATAGAATGCATAGGACTTGGAGAATTCTAAGCATGATCCACCAAAAAGATAACATTAAAAAAAGAAGTTATTAAGAAACTGATTAGAATTCTTCAGAAAAAAAGTCACTGTATGTCTCAAATTAAGTTCAGGAGCCATAGCAGCCATATAATATATAAATGAAGAGCAACATCAGATGTGCAATATAATCAACCAGTTACTGTAGATTTCTCTGCATACAATGTAGACATGAAACAATTAATCTAAGAAATGAGAATCTAAAAGCTCGGACTACTAGATTTTTAGTTACTACCATAAGAATTTCTGTGAGGATTGTGCTTTCAAATGAGATAGTTATATTTAAGTGATCTATGGAGCAAAGTCTAGTGTGTTTCCTTCTGCCTTTTCAGTGTCAAGGGAGTAGCCTTGTTTCTGGTGAAAACAGGGCACTTTGGATAGGTTCAATGTTTTGGTAACTGCTATTTTCAGAGCTGTAAACTATAGTAAATTATAATTAGATAAATTAATGCCCTTGAAAGAGCAAAATGGCTGTACATACACAGGCACGCAGAGGAAGTCAGAGTACTTTCTGAAGCTCTGATGCAAGCTCTGAAAAGACATGTCAGTTTTACTTGTGTGTCATGAATGTTTAACACAGCCATAACATATATTACATAAATTTGAGGTCAGTCACACACCAGCTTTCTAATTTCTTTATGTAATGAAGTATGAAACAGAACATCAATGGAAGGTAGGAAGAGTTAGGATGAAACAATACAGAATGCCAAACCACATTGGAGCTCAGTTTGTAACAACAATCATGTCTCTTTCTCTTGTATGAAAAAAGAGTTTACCACTGTTCTTTTAGCATGACTTTTATACTTATAAATGGAAGAAGAAAAATATGTGATAATTTCTAAGCAATAATGCATGATATAAGTTTGCTGCTATTGTTTTACTGGGTACTTTTACTATCTTTAGTATACAACCTTTTAACATCCATCCAATCCATCCCATCATCTATCTATCTATCTATCTATCTATCTATCTATCTATCTATCTATCTATCTATCTATCTATCTGTCATCTATCTATCTATCTATCTATCTATCTATCTATCTATCTATCTATCTATCTATCTATCTATCTATCTATATCTGTGTGCATTCTCTCCCCCTCCATACGTACATGTGTGCACATGCACCCCCCCCACACACACACACAATGGGATCAAAAGATGAACTGCTGAGAGAATGCCTGAGGCAACAGAAGACATGGAAGGAAGATCAAGCCATGGTATGACAAGATCCTGCCAATGGTAGGGGACCTGAGATTATCATCCATAGAAGTGAGAAAAATAACATTTATACACCCCTTCAAAAAGACATTCAGATGTCATCTAGAATGCTTGCTCTAAAATTTGAAGATATTTTCAAAATATGCCCATAAGAAAGAAACCACAACTTTTAGCAAAAACATTGACTATTGTATATTCTCAAATAAATTGTCAATGTCCCATCTATGTATAAAGAATCTACACTATGGCAAACCAATCTTTTTCATGTTTAGCACATGTAATAGCATACCAAATCACCACTAAAATAGTTAAAAGGTTTACCAAGTAGTATGATGATGCAGAGAAGAATTGCAATGATGGCACCCGTGCCTAGTCCTGCACCAACAATCCTGTCAGCATCTGTACAGTCTCCATTTAAATCACATTGACAAACTTTCACCTTCAGAATAGAAGTGCTAGACTTGGGAGGATTTCCAGAATCTGTTATTATTATTGGAACATCATATATTCCAGCCTCCAAGAACCTGATCTTTAAAGCCAATTGGGCGCGGTCACCTGAAAAAAGAAAAGAAACCAAAATAAATATGGTTTGTTATATTAATCAAAGTAACCAGAAACATCTGTTTTAGAATCTCTGAAATAGCTAAGTTTATTATTTATTGATGAGCCTCCATCAAACGTAAAAAGTGTGTTTGAATTTTCTTCTATAGCTTATAAAGACCTATGATGAAGGTGATTCCAGTTCTTAGAATCAGATCATCTAATCCCATGAACATATTTCTGGGATTAGAAACCCCCAAGACTGGGAAAGCTTAGTACTGTGTTTAATTAAACTGAATATTATATTGTTATAACCACTTTAAAATATTAGAAATATATTAAATATTAAAATATTTAGAAATAAAAATTAATAGGGACTACTATTACTAAACAAACACAGAATTTGTTATAAAAAGAAATGTATATTACCACTAATGCGAACAATAGTCCAATTTTTCTTAACACTGGGAGGAGAATTTGGCAACTCAAATGCAAATGGTCCAGCATTTGGATCAATATCATCATCTATTGCTGTGATATTTGTTGCGTTGGGCTGTAGCGTTTCACATGTTGTAGCTTCTTGAGGATCCACTCGGGGAGCATTGTCATTGATGTCAAGCAGATAGATCTGAAGTGTACCAGTCCCACTCATTAATGGGATCCCTTTAAGAACACAAACACAAAATAAAATAAGCATCCTTTCTATTAAAAAGGGATTGTTATTCTTACTGAACAAACATACTAATAGAAAAACGTAGAAGCTAAATAACATCTTTTTCTGACTACAAAGTGTTCTTTTCTGAACATAAAAATCCAGCTAAAGCTGAGACAAATTTTGCAGCAAATGGAAAAATGTTTTTCAAGTGTAGGAACAAAACTTCCAATTCAGACTCAAGGTAGATAGTATCTTCATACCGAAATTACTATGAAGTTTACGTGGATTTCTAGAGTAAAGACATTGTTTTTTTCTGTGCCAACTTAGTGACATTGCCTGAATGAGGTTGGAATCTATGCCTCAGAACTAATCACAATGCAAGTTGTAAAGTAAATTACCACATTTCCTTAAAATAGCATCAACTTATCAGTATTTTGACTATAAAATGGAAACAAGTGGGAATGATACTGGTATATAGTTGCCATATGCTATGAAATTTTAGTATGGCTTCATTTTATAGTTTAAAATTTTATTTGGTACATCTGATATTGCTATATTAAAAACCTATATCAAAGCAGATACAGAAAAAGTATGCTTGGGTTTATAATAGAATTACATAGATTTATTACTTAATTGTAAACTGTTTCAAGCTTTATTCAGAATGAGCAAGTTTTATGGGTGTCAAGAGCAGAATGTAGAAATTGTTAATTTTGGTAGAAATGTCTAAAAAGTAAGCATTAGAATTCATGGGATTTACAACTTAAATGAAAAATCATGGCTATCATATCACTGAATTCAAAGCTTTAGTATATCATTTTGGAATGGGCACACAACATATCATGTATATACAAAGGAGAGAGCTTTGATTGCAGAACCATGGCAGCCATCTTATTTATTTTTACCTCCTTCTGAAGAAACCATTGTACAATTCTTTTTAAGGATTCCAGTTCTTTGAAATCTCACTGTTGTATGATATAGTATTTAAGAATCTTTCACCTCTAGTTAAAAATCTTTCCTTAGTCAAGAATATTTTCTGTTTTATACCTAACGTTTCCTCACAAAAATGAGTCATGGGGTTTGCCAGATGTTCTAGTATCTCTAAATTCTAATGAGGTAAAACAGCTCCTTGATTTTAAGCATAAAATTATGATGGTTATTTGATAACCTTAACAACAGAAATCATATGCTACTAGATAAATAATATAAAGACAGGAGACAGACAATGGCAAAGAACATAATAATAAAAATCAAAAGTTCCTAGGAAGACTTTACACATCAAAATAGTGTTTTGGGAGTGGGGTAGGAGTAAATTAGGTTGTTTAACCCATTTGTAAACTAGGTACAATGAATAAAAAAAATGTAAATGCTTATTTTCAACTTCATGATCTAAAAACTGAACTGAGACTGGAACAGCAGCATCTTTCCTAGCAAACACAGGGGAATGGACCCTCTTAGTCATACTTTTTTTTTTTCTTTAATGGGAAAAATCCAACCTCAAGAGTCCTTGGTATCCAGGTCAATGGACAGTGCCAGGATATCCTGGCCCTTAGCTCTCTACTTTTCAATTACAAATAATATTGACGTCAGAGTAGTAAATAACTCCTTTTCAGGAGTTTCTCTATAAAAATACCTATACCCAGATAATTTCTCTTATATTTTATTGTGATTATAACACAGTATTTATATCAGTATTTCATATCCTTGTTTTGCTGATGATATTCATGGCACTCAAAAATACAATTTACAGGCTTTGGAATTAATCACATACCACTGTCGGTGGCAAGAAAAGTAGCATTATACATATTATTTTTCACATGTGGTGATTCTCTGTCCAGAATACTAGTTGTTGTTATTTGACCATTAATTGGATCAATCTTCAACCAATTGGCTGGATCTGAAAGTTTTGAATATCTGCAAAAAATTGACATAAAGCACTATATTAACATTAGATGCATTTGGTACAACAAATCATCAGCAGGAAGATCACAAAGAAAACAAATTGTACTTGACAAACTCTGTTTTTGCAAAAGGTGCTATCTGGACAAAATATTTATACATTAAAGCAAAATAATGTGTACTATTGAATAATTTTTAATATTTATATATTTACTGCATATTACCCAAAAAGAATTACATAGTACTTTTTGACAAAGTAGCATAGGAAGACAGACAAACAGGCTAATGAATGAGAGTCTGGTGATGAAAGGCAGGACAATTTTTCAAAAGGCTGCATTACACTAGGAAAACTGATCTAGTCCAGTATTGGACAATGACAATTTCTCAATTCAAATAGAATTATTGGTGTAAGGAAAGGAAATTACTGTCCCAATGAAAAGTGAGGAAAGGGTGTTATTTTTATACTGCACACAGTTCTCCAGATCAACTGGCAAGAGAGCTCAGCAAATGTGGGTCTAAATGACTTAAGGGCAAGACAGTGAATTTAAGGTAACAGACCATGCCAGACTGCAACTCTGATATGAAGCTACCCCGAAGGAACGCTGTGGGGGAAAGAAGAGTTTTGAGAATAAGAGAATGACAGTTGCAGAAACTCACCCAGTTCGTACAAAACACAGACAGGTAGAATTTAGGAAGAGTAATAGATTTTTTTTTTTGATAAACTGGAAGATCAGTTTGACGATAAAAATACTAATTCTATTTCAGTCAGAAATAAATTGGAAGTATTTGGGCAAAGCTGTGTTAATGTGGTAGACATGAAGTTACTGCTTGCACCAGACAATTTTAACCACTAGAACACAGCATGTGTAGATGCATAAAAACTGTAAATCATAGAAATTTAGATGAAGAACACTTTTTAAACAACCTTCCAATTATTCCTGCATGCAAAGGAACAAAGGAGGGAGTCATTTACTTATAGGCAACCAAAGGGTGAAGGCAGTTATGTGTTACCTTAAAGTAGTCTGTTGCATGTAACGATCTGGATCCTGAGCTGTAAATGATGTTAAAACAGCCCCAGGAAGAATCCCTTCCTCCTGACGTATAAGCTTTGTGACTGGGACAAAAGTTGGGCTTTCATTCACATCAATAACTGTAATGGATACAGTGGCTGTGGACTGAGGAGGATGCTGTATTCCTTTTGCCAAAGGCACTTGGTTTTCTGCAGCTACAGTCAGTACAAACTTCCTATTGCTCTCAAAATCAATAGGCTGGCAAAAGCAAAATACAATGAAAGTTATTTTAGTCATAGGGTATACAAAAAACCAACATATAAGAGAAGTTGTAATATTGTAGAAATACTTATTTAAAGATTCTTGAAGATCTTAGAGATCTGCAACTGAAAGGAACAAACTATATGAAAAATTCTTGTTATTACTATTATGCAAACACATCCTCCTCATTTTTGAAATTGTTATTATCCTCTAGAACAGGGGTGTCAAACTCACTGTGTCACATAACTTTCCATTTTTCCTATTTGCAGAGCTGCAGTGGACTTTGCCTGCACATGACACATCCGGCCCATGGGCCGCCACTTTGACACCCCTGCTTTAGACCTATTATGACTGGCTCTTCCAAAACCGCTTGCATGAAAGAGATCTCTAGTAGCTTGCATTTTTAATTATTATACTATGCTAGAGGAGACATGATTAACCAATCAATCAGTATACCAATCAAAACCTAAACTAATCTGATCCCCTTTACAATAATTCAGTGCTTACTCATACTATTTTATTTTTATTTTGAAGAGTATGACACTTTTTGATTCACAGCACAAACACTCAAACTGTCTCAGTATTCTATTGGGTCTTATGTAATACAAGTGAAATAAATATTTCAACTATCGTTTAAGCAGATACTCTGTGCAGGCTGTTTAAAAACTGACTTCACAAGTAGTAAATGGCGGGTTCACAACTTTTAGTTTGGACAGAAGTTGAGTGCATTACAAATTTGCTTACCAGAATGTCTAGTTACGGTAATTTAAAATACTTTGTGTATTTCATTTTGAAAATCAGTATGGCTGTATAATACATTCTAAAGTGTCATAAAAACATATGCATAACTTGAACAGAGAATATTTACAACCTAAACATGCTATTCTCAGGCTTTTCTGTTATGGTCTACAAGGGTATACCCATAGAAATCTGCTAATTGGAACTACATGCAAAGACTAGAATAGTCTCTAATATTCTTTTCTATGAACTTAATTTATTTTAATTTACAGTTATTTTCAACAGCTTCTGGAATTTTTTTCTAGTTTGAGAAAGATTTTTCTCAAGATTTTTAATGTTTTTTTCCTGTTTTTATTGCACTTAAAGTATGGTATATAGTCAGCATCTTTCAAAGGGCAACTGGAAGATACATAAGAGGATATTTGTAATGTGTATTTTGAAAATTGCATGTTGGTTGGATGCTACTTTCCCTAATTTGGGAAAATGTTAATGTGTTTTAAATTTTTAACAGCCCCCTTGTGATTCTGTTTTTTTAATCTGATTGAAGTTAATTGAATTTGTTTATGGTTGAATTATCTAACAGCTATTTTGCACTTATAAAATTATTTATATTGTATTTCAATGTTTTAGTAACAAAAGTATTTTATATTAGATATTTTGAGGGCCATTTTTTATTATACGTTATATATATGGCATAAATAACAAACTATTATATTGAATTTTATGGTGGTTGTGAACAGTGCTGTTGTTATTATTATGTGTTGAGTAAGAGCAGCTCAAAATAGATCTGGCAAAATTATTAATTTTAGATTTGATCCACACTAATCTTTATAAAAACTAAAGTGTTGAAGTACGTATCATAACATTACAATGTAAGCTCTGCCCTTAACCAACTAAATAAGAGGCAGCTTCATTGTGAGATCACAATGCATATTCTTACTTGCCCCCTATCTCAACTATCTCCTATGGAAGCCATTCTCACATATTTTATATGTTACCTGAAACTGCAGAAATGGTCCTGAAGATCTATAATCTCCATTATGTAATCAGCAGTAGAAGTTGTGAATTGGAATTTTGTGTGTGTGTGTGTGAGTGTGTGTATGTATACATACATACATACATACATACATACATACATACATACATACATACATACATACATGTTGCATTTGTGCTGATAAATAAATAAAGGGAGACTAATATAGATCTATTTCAAGCTATTTAGCTCTCATCAGCTAGCCATAACCTTACTGGGATTTGAACCTGTGCTATATGTGTTGAGTAAGAGCAGCTTAGGCAGTTGTGTTTCCCCTGGAAATTTTGTTGATGGATCTGATATTTGGAAGTATTGTAGCATAAAAAAGAAAAGAAAAAACCTCTCTAATATCTGCCTTTTTGCCTCCATATGATTTCCAATATCTCATAGTAGTTAGGGCAACTTCTACCAGTATATCAATTTTTAAAAGATTATTAGTAGCATCCTGAGCTGAAGAACCGCAAGCATATTTCATATTTAGTTGTTTATGCTGTCAAATTCAGATACCGTTTTCATGGAGTGAGGGATTGCTTACCAAATAAAATATAACCCCTTCAGGAATCATTACACTGTATTAGCTAATAAGGACAGTGCTTCTCTGGGGAATTCTTCCACATTTATTTATCCAGTTTTACCTTCATTTTTTTTCTTGTTTGTATTCTGACAGGTCTAAAAGAATTTAATTTGAAGCAAACTGAGCTGCTTCAAATGGATTATACTTTTGAGCCTTTCATTTTGTCCTCTTTACAGAGATTTACTTCAATTTTAGCTCTTCTGTTTTGTTTTCCATTTCAGGCCTTTTTAGTTTTGAGTGGTTCATTTATGCATGAATATAAAGTACATAATCATGTACTTCTTATGAAAATGTTATACTTTTGGAAATATACAACAAAATTATCTAGAAATATGAAAAGTGATTCCCTTACTCTTCATACTAGTATGGAGAGACATTGTACAATACTGAAACTATAGTTTAATTTCACTTTGATTTGAGTGCTTGGGAATATTTCATGCAAGGAAATGAAGTCTAGTATATGTACTGAAAGCGATTAAAATATCTATAAAATCTATCATTTTTAATTTACCAAACTAGAAATGTGGTCTGAGCAACAACTGCATTCATGAAGAATGATGATACAAAGATTTGTTTATCTCCCTATCATTATTGGATATGTATAAACCAAATCACCTTACAAATACAGTTGTGGCATACTATATGAATGCTGCTTTTCAGCTGCAGGGCTGGATCTATTATTGCGAACTAAAGTAATGAACATGAAAATTCCCACTAAGGTACTGAATATTTGTAACGTGACTATCTTCATAAATGTGGTATTTGTTTAAATGTAAGTTTGGCACTGATGATGAGAATGATTTTAAAAACATAATAAGCCATCATGAGACTACTTTGATGTCCATCTCTTAAACTTCATTTTCACTTCAACTGCAAGCTTGGTAATAGCAGCGATCCCAAATAGGGGAAAAAGGAAAGAAAAATACTATGGGAAGTTCATATTACAGAGATAATTGATCCAATTCTCCATATGATACCACTATTTTTCTCTTAAATTATGTTTGTAACTGCAGAGTTATATTCACTAGGGAGATTTTAAAACAAATTGATCTGCTGCTTGCACATATAGTTTGATCCTAAATAACATAATTGGCTACACATAATGCAATTAATTTTAGCAACTGCAAATCAAGTCAGACTCATAAAATAACAAATAGATTAAAATCTACTGTTCTCAATCAGAATTCTGCCATTTATAAATTAAATATCATGATCTAATTCAGGTTTTTCAAATTATGTTATGTGGAACCCTAGTGTACAATGACATCTATAGCTGTTAGATGAGATATAAGATATATCACATTATAATTCCACTAAACCAACTAACTGATGCAGTGAGGTGTTACTTGGTAAGTGGAGACTGTGGGGGTTTGAATGGGGAAAAATAGGCTTCTACTCAACTCTAGCACAACTACATGGCTCTGGCTCTTGGTACTTTCTATCATTTAATCCAGATTGGGCTGAATTAATTCAAGCAGAACCAATGCACAAATTGAAGGCCCCTCTTTTCAAGAACAGGTGATAGCTGTCGACAGCTTTTTTGCACAACTTTATATTATATGCCAATTGTATCTGTTCCTAGTCAAGGACTCTGCACACAATCATGCCTTAGTCAACTCTCAAGTGGATTATTGCAATGTGTGTTTACATTCCGTTGCTCCCGAAGAGCCTCTGGGAATTCTAGCTGGTTCAAAAATGTGGTGCTGTGATAACACCTCTCTTATGGGAGCAGAATTGACTACTGGTATGTTTCTGGGTTCAACTCAAGATGCTGGTGGTCAGCAGAAAGCCCTTTATAACATTAAATTGAGTTATTTGCTTGATCCCAAACACTTCTGCCTTTCCCATTAGATTTGGCAGGAGAGGCATACTACTGGTCCTGTTGGTTAAGAAATTTCTTTCTGTGAAAACCCAGGAAAAGAGTCTTTTCTTTGTGGTGCTTACACTTTGGAACATTATCCCCTAGATCAGTGGTTCTCAACCTGTGGGTCGGGACCCCTTTGGGGGTCGAACAACCCTTTCACAGGGGTTGCCTAAGACCATCGGAAAACACATATTTTCGATGGTCTTAGGAATCGAGACACCAATTTTATGATTGGGGGTCACCACAACATGAGGAACTGTATTAAAGGGTCGCGGCATTGGAAAGGTTGAGAACTACTGCCCTAGATTATATTGGTCTTGATCAGGCAAGACATTTGCAAAGCCATGAAGATATAGTTGTGTGTCTAAGTGTAGGAGTTGGATTGTTAGAGATTGTTATGTTAATTGTTGATTGGCAACAATTGGCTGCTAGCTATGTATTTTGCTATGTGTTTAGTTCTTAATAGCCACTCGACTTACATTAAATTAAAAAAATCACTTGAATACAAGGTTATCCTTAGCCATTTTTCTAAAGTATAACAAAAATGGTAAAAAGAGGCATGGATGCCATTTTTTAGATACAGTTTTTGTATTTTTAATTAATAGGTTTTGTGGCTTAATTTTTTTTTTTGAAAATCCTTGATGTAGTACATTTGTTGCAAATTAAAAAATATGCAACACAAAACACACCAGATTTCTTAATATGTAGATTTGAAATAGTTCAATTTGGCCACTTTCTTCCATGTAGAAACAATCCTAAACGACCTTTCTGAATTACACATATAAAGTAGACAAAGTTTAATTGTACCAATATTTAATTAAATATATTTCACAGAAAGTTGTTTTTAGTTTGAAAATATTACTTAGTCAATTTGGAAAAGAACAAATAAAGTTAAACATCAAACAATTTAGTATTTCAATTTTTAATATAGTAATTGTGATATATACTGTGGAATAAGTTCCTTTGAACAAATTAGCTAGGTTCTTTAAACACAGCCATTGTAGATTAGTACCACAAGTGCATATACTGAAGCTTTAAAACAGATAAACCATTTTACCATTTCAAAATATTTTTTATTTATAGAAATCTACCCTTAATTTGCTTTCCTCATTTAACAACTGGAGCTAGTTCAGTAGTCATGCTTAACTTGGCAAATACATACCTTCACAACAGTTACCAACCCGTCATTGCTATTTGGATCAGTAAGAATGGTAAACCGGCCTGAAGGATCGCCACTTGTCATTCTGTATACTGCATTCCAAGCAGGCGTGTGTGGTTGATCTTTATCTGTCACAGTTAAATTAGCTACTATAACATCCACTCTGTTTTCAGGAACTTCACCATAGAACTAAAAATATAAAGCACACACTTATGTACAAGATGTCAGCTTAGTGTCCCTGAAATATTATCACATTGTTTCTCTGTTGAAGCTCTGAAGACCCTTCACGTTCCTAAATTATTATCTTAATTGAGAAATAATGTGCTTGGGAACATTAGTTGATATTTTAAAAGAAGGAACATCTCTCTGACTCTAATGTGCTAGATCAGCCTTCCTGAGCTTGGCCAGATAAGGAAGATTGCAATTCTAGAATTCCTAGGTATCATGGATTGTAATTCAAGACAGAGAACTAAAATAAATAAACAAACATCTGCTTCTGTTCATCAGGTAAACACTATAATTTAGCTGTCATTTTCTTATTTGGTGCTCTAGGTGGCAAGTGATCCTGATTCATTGATCCAGTCATTTTTCAGACTCAAGGTCACATTTGATCACAAAAAGTTGGTAGAGCCAAGAGAAAACAAAAAATCATTTAATATACAATGAATTATTTCAGTAAACGATATATAAAATTTAATCCAGTAACTCTTTCTGTATGTAATGTTGCTTCTGACACACACACACACACACACTCTATATCTATATATTCATTCAAAATTGTCAGAGAATTGCACTGAAATACGGCTTGGCTCCACTGATGTAGAAAATATGGAGTTGAAGTTCTCATAAGTTAGAAACACATTCAATGCATTTAGTTTACTAAGCAAGCAAGAACTATTCACATTCTACATCCCTTTTCTTTACTGCATACTTACAATCATGGCTGTGAACTCTGGGGGATTGTCATTGATATCTGTCACTGTGATGATAGCAGTTGCCGTATTTGAAAGACCGTATGTTGGATTTCCTTCCATATCTGTAGCTTGAATTATTAATGTATACTGTTGTACTTTCTAAAAAAAAGCATCATCACAAGATGACATCAAGAGCAGTTACAGATAAAGCCAGCATTCCAAGGGAATAGCAAGTATTCAATAAAGTATTTTTTTGTGATGCAGTGAATTTATCACATTGTTCATTTCTATTAATGTCACTTAAACTGAGATTGGACTTGCACTAATTAAGAAGAATGAACAACACTAAATTCCAAAAGCACGGCTTTCTTGCTGTATTTAGTAGTTTTTAAGTGGAAAGAACTACATCTAAGAGTAGCTTTTTTTGATAGCAGGCAATAATCAAGTGAAGAGCTCTTTTTGAAAATATATTTTTCATTTTTAAAAACACAAATGCTATGCAACGGTCAAAACTAAAGTAGACTGGGTTTTATTATCTTTTTTAAAAAAAGGCTCATAAGAACTAAGCATGAGAGGGCACATTCTTGGCAAATGATTCGAAATGCCAAGGCTTTGTGGTGAGAGGGAACTGGAGGGTAACGGTGGCAACAACTTCTCCATATCACCATGGAAACCAGTGGAGGCAAGGATAACAGAAACTAGTCCCTAAAAGAGAAGCCCAAACTAAATTATTTCATTAATGTTAAACATTAGGAACCAGATACCTCCTTCTTTGTCAATAGCACAGCTAGCTTTTTTTTTTTTTTGCTTTGTCAAAAAAGAGCCTTTGGTGGTGAGAAAGTCTGTTCTTAAAGCCGGGTTGGAATGAAGCCAAAGGCAGAGGAATACATTCTTCCCTAAGAAGAGGATTTTTCTTGCTTTAGGAATTAAATTGTTTGAAAACAATTCATACGTTTTATTCATTATTTTAAATTAATTAATAATTAATGTTACGATGTAGATACTTGTGACTTCTTGATAATGTATTTGATATGAAACATCATCAGTTATAAAAGAAACATTTCCCCCCCCCCCCCAAATTTTAAAATAGGATTAAGCATCTTAGTACTTTTTGGGCTGATACAGATATATTAATACATTAAGTTCACCATCTTCCAAGAAGAAAAGTAATAAAGATAGGGCTTTTCGTTGTTGCCTTACAATGTTATGGCCACAAGTTGTTTATTGATGTAACTAAAAATGTTATATATTTATAAGAAAAATACCATTCCTGGAGAATCAACTTTTTATAATGATGTTTTCACCTATTTCATTTCTTGAAATAACATAAAAAATGTTACTTTTTTATGCAGAGAAAGTTTTTCAAAATGTTCCACTGAGCATCTACGTTTAAGGGAAACCAAGTTATTTAAATAACTCTTTTAAATTTAAATATTTAAATTGATTATTCTATCACAGGCCTGTCAAAATTGTGGCCCACTGGTTGGATGTATCATGCACAGGCCACATCCATCCCAGCTCCACAAAAGCAAAAAAGTTGCAATATGTCACGTGACATGATCAAGTTTGAGACCCGTGTTCTATCATCTTCATGGGTTATACTGGTTGACAGAATTGGGTGCAATTCAAGATGCTTGTCACTTTAAAAGCCCTTCATGACTTGGGACTTAGTTAATTGAGGGACCATGCTCCTCTAGTTGCTTCTACCTGTCCAATACAATGCATAGGCATAATCCAGGTTCCATCAGCCAAGAAACGTCAACTGCCAAGGATTGGGAGACGTGCCTTTTCTATCATAATTTCTGCACCTGGGACAACCTCCTCTCTGAATTAGGATGGTCCTGAACCTGTTGGCCTATCAAACCTGGCTATGTGCTGGGCATAGGTTCCCAAATTGTGTGAAGGGCTCTATTTCCTAGTTGTGTTTACACCAACAAATTATAATATCTCTTGCTATTTGCATTATTTTTTGTATTGTGTTTTAACTACTTTAATTGCTTTTATGATGATTTATTGCCCAGTGTCATTGGTTTCAGATATACAAAATGATTGATGAATGAGCAGTGAGTTACAATTTTTTTGTCTTCTGAAGATTATTTTTTATGTCTGTAGAAGAGAGATGAATGGTAATATGATCTCATTTACGGAGGTTGGGGGATATAGTCCTGCTTGTTATGGGGATATGAGTACTTTTTTTCTCATTTAGCTATACAATGGTGGTTCCTTTAATAAAAACACATAAACATTATTGTACATGATTTCTTGAGTTTTCCATACATGCACACAAAAGGATGGTGGGAATGATGCACTGTATTTGGGGCAATTTGTTACACAAAATCAGTGCATGATTCTGAGTGATTCTAGAGAATCACAGGGTCAAAAAAGTAGTCAAGCTCATCATATAAATTGCTTTTCCTAAGATGAAAACAGAAGCCAGAAAGAAGCTAAAATTATGTTAAAATATCTATATTTACATTGTGAGGGAGAGGAGGAAATGAAATCTCAATTGTTTTTTCAACCTTCATAATCAGTTACTCATCTAAGACAAACAAATTTAAAATGTGCGATGCCAGGCTTTCTCACCTCTCTGTCAAGTCCAGCTGCAACTGTGATAATGTCACCTGTTTCGTTGTTGATTGTAAACATATTTGGAGAAGGGGTGCTTGGGGCTTGTGACAAGATTCTGTATCTCAGCATTCCATTCAAAGCGTTGGGATCATCAGCATCAATAGCAGTGACAGTCATCACATAGGTGCCTAATGAAAGATCCAATAATCCTCTGAGTTAAATAAACACTTTACTTGGATTAAGGCACTTTGAAGCATCAACCTTAGTTTAAAGGTTTACTTCCTCTGACAAAGCACATCATATTCCTTCAAATCAAGCATTTCCCCTAAGACCTGTAATTAATAAGGAATTGTGAAGAAATTCCTTATTAATAAATAATAAGTGAATTTCTAAAATACCAAAATTCACCTACTGCAAAAGCAAAAGTAAAGTATTATGTTTAAATTGTTTCTTCTTTGACCTAGTTTATAGAAAATGAATCCCAATATTATAGTAAGACAGTGCCTGTTAAGTGAACATACAGGGTCATAGAAATGACCATTTAAAGGGCAGATTTTTGAAGCAATAAGAGGTGTTGGCATGTGATGAGATATAATCTGTTGTAAAAAAAAAAAACCATGAAAGAACATACTACCAGTAATTAAAAGAGGATGTAACTTTGAGTGTACACTTAGGACAAATTTGACCATGATCCAGGACTGAGAATTAAAGGATAGGAGAGTAAACATTTATTCAGCATAAAATTTCAAATGAAGCCTGACATACTAAAGGAGAAAAAAACCCATCAAACTCTATTAAAATCCACATAAATCACTGGAATAAATATCATCACATTTGAAAAAAATAAACAATCCCTTCTTTGCTTAATATCCATCAGAATATACTATGTACATAAATCATAAATTATTCCTACAATTTGTTGATAAAAAAAAATCTTATATAAGTCAGAAACAAACTTGTGTAATTGTACAGATTCTGTTTGGATCTACTTGTTTACTATAAATCACACTTTTACATTTCCTTGCTAATATAATTTCACCATCCACTCAAGACATAAAATTTGTCTATTGAAGTTTAAATAAACATTCTGTTTGTACTGTAGTATGAGGCATATATATGTCTTAGTTTTTTTAATTCAATATTTCCTTTCAAAATAGCAACTTAGGATCAAACCCCAAATTTAAGTACTCAAACAGTGATTTTGAGTTTTTTAAATGTTGAAATTGCTAATATATTTTCTGGACAATATAGCATCCCAAAAAATTACAAGAAATTAAGTTTAAATACCATATTTTTTGGAGTATAAGACGCACCAAGATTTTGAAGAGGCAAATTAAAAAAAAGTTTTTGCACTCTGCAGACCTCCCAAACCCTCTGCACACCTCATTTTTTTGTGAAAAAGAGGCATGCAGAGAGTTTGAGAGACCTGCAAAGTGCTCCTAGGGGCTGCCTCCCAAAAACCAAGCAAAAAAATGGTAAACCCGGCATGCATAGTTTTGGGAAGGCTTGTAGAGTGCTCCTGTAGGGTGCCCCCCCCAAATGAGCAAAAATAGCTTTTAGGAGATTTATAGAGTGCTTCTGGGGGCTGGAGGGAGGCAAAATTGAGCAAAAAATGGCACATTTTCCGCTCATTTCTGGATTCCCCAGCCCCCAGGAACACTCTACAAGGCTCCTAAAGGCTATGCACGGCCATTTTGGTGAAGGGGGCGGGATTTCGGGAGGCAAAAATGCTGTATTCAGTGTATAAGATGCAACCAGATTTTCAGCGTCTTTTTTGAGGGAAAAAGGTGCATCTTATACTCCAAAAAATACAATAAATGTCCAGATCTACATGTATATTCTACATCTCTGTGCTAAATATATATTCTACATACATATGCTAAAGCAATGTATTTGTTTGTTAGATTTCTATGCAAATGTTATTCTAAAAGCTGAAGACATAAATATAATTCACTCTTTCCGGTTTTTATTCACAACTGTAAGATTGATTAATCCAAGACAAAATAATTGACCCAAAGCCTCCTTGGATATTTCCATGGCGGAATATGGTTTCCCCAGTCCCAATCTAACTCAATCTTACTGTCTATTGCCATGACTGACTATACATTTTCAAATTTAATGTAGGAGTGAATGTGCATTCATTAAAAAAGGAGAAAACATAATGGTAAGAGAGAGGAAAGGGAAAATGTAATTAGACTTTCAAGAGTCTGAAACAATAGCCTGTATCAATAAAGCAGAGTTCCAATCAAGTTGCCTAATTTTATCCTTCTCAATGGGCTGATCAAACAGCAAGACAGTTTTCACATCTATGCTTTCTTTCTGCATCTCCTTCAATTGCAGAAGATCTTGTAACATTGATTCAGCTGATTCGTTAGTCAGGATATTGCAAAAAGATAGAAAATCTGTTCCACTAATGGATAGTTTTATTTGCTAATACACTGGACATAGTTAAAGAATTTCTGGAATGTTGCTTGATAGTGAAGACTAAGAAATACAATTAAGAAATGCTTTGTTCTCACTATCTCACTAAATGATTTTAGGCCAACTGTTCTTCCCTCGGTGGCTAACCATCATCATATTAGCAGCATGATGGTAATAATAGTATATTAAGTGTCCTTTCTAACATTACAATAAGATAATAAAGCCTTGAATATACCAATGTTATGACTGTGTTATTAAGGTATTTTTTTCACACTACATGCCTTCCATTTCTAAATCTGCTTCTTTGTACTGTGTAATTCACTACTATACTACAATGATGGTGTTACCGTGAGCTTTGGAGTCAAGTGTCAATTTTCTAATAATAGTAATAAACAACAAAAATAAAAAGCAACACCATTGAACATCATCTACAAGATCCTTGGAAAGTACTCAATATATGGTAAAAATGCCAAATCTGGTTGACTGTGTGACCAACCATAAGAACAAAAGGTCTGGAAAGCATTTGCGACACAATAGAAATGGATAACACATAATTGCAAAATGTTGCATTAAGTTGAACAGTGAATATATTACAATTATATATTTAGTCATTCTAAATCCTTGGGAAGGACCGAACAGTCCAAAGTATCGAATCAAGCTAGAACTATCTGGTAGACTGTGTCTAAATATAACGTAATACAACCATGACTATCACTGTCATCATCTTTACAACTAAGCATGGAACAGAAACAAAGATCAATTAAATAAAATTTGCAAAATTATAAAATTATATGGACCTTACTTCATGCTTAAGTGGTCAGTAGAGGGTGTGTGCATAAGTGCACTAATGTGCCTATCGTCCCTGTCATTGTACTTTTATTCTCTTATTCTTCTCGTTTTTGTTTGACAAATTCAAATTCAAATAAATAAATAAATAAAACCCCAAACCTAGGCAATTGCAATTCTATTGGATAATGGCATACCAAACAGATATTTATGATAGAAAGAATACATAAAGTAGATCATTTGATTTATGTCAAATTTGTGCTAAAGTAGTAATTATCTGAGAAATAATTATGTTTATTTGTTATTGTCAATTTCAGGAAACATGGAATTTCAGATCTCTGAAAAGATTCAGATTTGGTTTCTCCTATGGACAAATTTGTCATGTGTCAAATCAAGTGAACTGAATTAAGCAATTTTGAGTCAATGAAAATGGATATTAAGAAGCAGCTTCTGCAAGCTCTATCTCCTTTCAATACAGATGCGATCAATTAACTAAAACTTGTGGCCAATTTTTGTTGAGACAAATACAATTTAACTGTTATATACTTCCTTCGACTGTGTAATTTAAGTTAAATGTTTAAAAAGTTCTACAATATTAAAATATGTAACTTTATATTTAATATAACGTAAATGACTACTTAAGTTTATAATATTTTACCTGGTTTTGATCCTTCTGGGACTGTCCCATTCCAAACCTGATGTAGGAATTCAGGTCTATTATCATTCATATCAATGACATTAATAACAATATCAATGGGATTTTCCACCTGATTTCCATTTACATCTACGGCATGTGCCCTTAGCTGCAAAAGATATTTTTTTAAGATCAGAAAAAAAACAAAACAGGTATCATCAGACAAGGTAATTATTGTTGCTGGCAGGACATTTTAAACAGAATCAACTAACACAATTTATTTGTCTTCTTTTGTTATCCTCTTTTGGTTTCTTCAAACACTTGAAAACAGATTTTAAAAGGTAAATATCCTGAATTACAAAAATCTCATAATGCCTAAAATTAGTAAAACAAGACAAGACACTTCTGAGCAGAAAAAAAAGTCATTCTGGGAAGGAGAAAGCGTGGAAAAAAGGAAGGAAAAGGAGGAGCAGAAGGAGGAATTATTTGAAGGTGGGAAAAATATTCTTATCATAATACTAGAATGAAAATAATTAAATGAGACTAATTTATAAGATAGCCCAAGAAAATACTTTGTCACCCAAAGGAAAATTTATCAGTGGAGTCTGCTGCCAGAAACTATAACAATTAGACAGCATGTTGGGCTGCTTTAGGTGTCCTTCTCTTTCACTTTTCAGAGTTTTTAATATTTATCAAACATGAAATGTTTTTCTAGTAATCCATTTATCCATGCATCCTCTTATCTATTTTCTCTTCTGCAATTAATTTAATTAAACCCCCACAGTGTTTAAATGTTTAAATATTTAATGTACTACACAATTAAAGAAATATCTCATGGTAATTTATTTTATTTATGAAATAACTGTCCCCATTTAATAGTCATATAAAGCTTTCACATTAAAAACATTTCTTCTAAATTATGTGATTGAATTTGTAACTGGAAATTTAAAGAAAATATAATAGAGTTTCTCATGTTGCTTCTTTTATCTAATTCATTAAATCAAATCTGAATTGTTAAACTAGCCAAGTAATTCCATTTACAGAATTTAAAATCTAAAACTGATATAATAATTCTAGATAAGAACTTTGATTTTAAACTTTGTTGGTTAAAAACTTACATGAAAAGAAGCTATTTGCTCCCGATCTAATGGTTTTGTCACTGATAGTTGACCTGAAATGGGATTGATGATAAAGATGCCAGTTGGAGGCTGATCAGCACCTGGACCAGTAACGCTGTATCGCAGGGAAAGGCTTTTATCACGATCAGATCTGATCTATATACCAAGAAGATGGTGAGATTGTTAAATATAAAAATATACCAGATGCTTAAAATAAATCTACCAATATGCACATTCATACATAGAAACAGCCATAGAAATCATTTACATTTTATTATCTAGCTTATTGTTTTAACTGCAAAAATCAGCAAGCTAACTTTTTTTAAAAATGAACTGCACTGGACTTCTTACTAATACAAAAGGTAGTGCTGGCCTATGCAATCTACATAATGCCAAGTATATATTTATCAAGTATTATTATCAAAGGAAATTCACCCATGGTAACAAACTAAACTGCCTGTTCTGCTACAAAGCATGAGAGAACTGGAAATTGTTGCTCCTACCAAGGAAACTCCATTGTAATAGTTGGCTGTATGTTCAGACAGTGCTGAGCAAAGATTCTACTCCAGATGGTGTTTTCCATACATCATCAGTCCATGTAAAGAGTACTAAAGTAGGATAGCCTAGTAGATGTTTTTGATGTTTGATAGCCATGTCCTGACTTGATCAGTATTGTTGAAAAAGGAATCAATGCAATAACATACAGTAGTGGTCTTGAGGTTAACCTCTCCCAGTCTGTCTCCATTATGTCATTGATCTAGTATCCTAATTTTGCTTATGCCTCAACAGAACCAGTGGAACAACAACTTGCCATTTTGTACTACTTCTTCTGGACATAAGGATTTTAACTATTTTGTGTAACCACAGCTTGTGTAGGGTTCTCCTAGGCTAATCCTTTCTGATCTTCTATTTTTTAAATATAAAAACAATATTTATTTAATTGATATGCCTCCCATCTTACTATCCAAAGCGACTCATGCCAACAACCATTCAATAGAAAATATGGATCGAATGTAAAATAAATGTGTATATCCTTATTTTAAAACCTATTTGAGGGGAGACCCACAGAAATCTGAATGTCTATAATATGATATCATTTTACAAATGCCATCAATTTATGGATATGATATAAACTTACAAAAATGATATCATTTTTTAAATGACTTATATTAAAGCAAAATGAACAACAAAAATTCTCCAATTTGGATTATTTTTTTTCTTTACCTGTTAATAACCTGGTTTCATGTTTGATAAGAAAACATGGAATATTTTTTCATCTCAGCTTTTTGATAAAGAAAACCATTATTAAACTCCTTCAATAACACTCTTCTGTTCTGTTCTTTGTCTTACCCTAACTAATTCCTGAGGAAATGGCCCTCTGGAGTTTTCTGGCAAATTGATTGGAGGGATAACCCAATCTCTCTTCTGCCTTTGCAGATGGCCGCTGTGTTTATTTTGTTGTCTAGGAAATACAATGTCTTCCATTTTCTTTTGTTCCTTGCAATTATAGATAATGAAAATTAGTACAGATTAGATACTTAAGGTTTTTCAAATAGAAAGCAGCATACAAATATTTAAATACATTTACATAATGAACAAAGATTTAAATGATATAAAATAAGGCTTCCCAAGACAATGTATAACACCCAAACTCACAAAATGACATGATGTGGAATAAGAAAAAACCCCTATATAATACCTACTTTGTTTTCTATCAGTAGAAAGTAAGTACAAGTTTTAAGCAAATTATGAGATCTTAGTTCTATACTTTATACTTTTTATGTTCCAACTGCAGCCTAGTTAATACCATTCCAAATTTAACAGTATGCCTTTAGATATTTCTCATTAGTTGGAGCTACACTTCAGGTAATGTGCTACTGTACATTAAATTTAGACTTGGGTGTGCTAAAATATAATTTGAGTTTCTAAGGAAGTTTAATACATAGTAGTAAGGACTGTCTCAAATATTTATGACCCTATTAAATCCCATAGAATTAATGTTGTAATTATTTTAAACCTATGTCAGCCATGATGGATGCTGTAGATGGCCCACTTTACACAGTAGGTATTAATCTCTGCAGGGTGTCAACAATTCTTCTCTGCATCTATAAGCATTCTGGCTTTTGCTTCTTGATGCTGGCAGATTGCTAGCTTGCTTATGCATATGGTAAAAACAAAGAAAGACATATTTCTTCAATCCTTTAAAACAATATTCGTTTTTTTCAGTTAAATGTGGAATAGAAAAAATAATGGTTTCTTTTTACATTATGGAAGCCAGATGTTTTCAGCAACTAAGTAATCTTAACTACTTTACAGAAGATAATCTAATAGGAAAACATTTTGGAGACTTGAAGCACTAAGATAATTTATCAATAAATAAATAGAAATGTATTTTGTTTGTTTGAAACACCGATATGTTGACCTTTCAACAAAGCTTTAGTGAATGTGCTCAGGACCATGTTGTGAATTAAGAGTCCTAGAAACAATACCCAGCACGTATATACATATGCAAGTCTAGCTATATAGCTGGTGATACTTCTGAGCTAGAAATGCAGAATAACAAATTAACTTTATGCTGGCCTACCAACCAAATGCATTCAATCAGCCAAGTAACTTGCTTGGCCTGCCAATAATTTTAAAGTATCTCTCCTCCAATTTATACAGTCCTCAAAAAGATGAAATTTCAGACAACTTATTAAGTCATACTAAATATACACACATAGGTGTATTTGAGACCTTGTTTAAAAGACTGGGCTTGCTTATGTTCTGGTCATGCAGTTAAACAAGCTGGAAAAAAATATGATATCCTAGCTGAACAGCAAGCTCTGTGACTGCATAAATATGATTACAGGTTTGGAAAGTCACAGTCCAGCAAACAGCAATGCAAATTCCAATTCTCTGGAAAAAGCAAGATTACCAGCATGAAAGTTTTCATTACTATAAGCCTTTGTCCATGTTCAGGAGCTAACTCTTGATTATTTAAATGTAAATACATTTCTTATTCCATGTTGGGATATTAATATAAATTAATGTTATGAATGAATCAAATCCATTTTTTCCAATATTTTCAATCTTATGCCTATAACTGTTAATTTTATTGTGCACATATGTATTGACATAAATTATCCAGTATACTTTTTAAAAGAACAAGTAGCAGAATACCAAACAATGTGCACATTCAATGCCTACTGGCAACAAGGCTGAGCAAGATTTCTTTCCAGCTTGGCTGAGAGCACTTTATACAAGAGGGAGGCTCCTTTCTCTAAAGTGGCAGTGGAGTCATGAATAGTTTACACACATGCACACCCCAACATTTTATTACTGAGGCACAAAGCAAAGCCAATACTTTCTGCCAGAATTGCTTTTTCTGCTACATTTGTAAATCTGAAGTTCCAATGTTATAAACTTGACTGATGGGCCTGAAAACCAAATGGCTTATTTATTTATTTTTTGCTTAGATTTAACTGCTTGAATAAATATTGAGTGCTTTCCAGGGATTTAAAATTTAAAAGACACATTCCAATTCATATTTCTTCCTTTTAAAAATATACTCCTGTACCAATGCAAATTTTAAATGTAAACAACTATATTTTCAGTGATATGGGATGATGGAAAAACATTTTGAAAATTAATAATATTTAGAACATAGAATTAAGTACAAATTCCAAAAGAATTGATAAATTATGAACCCCTTTCTCATATATATTTCTAAAATATATTAAGACATTTTACCTTTATGGTATCCTTTGGATCAAGACCTAGTTTTATGATCACTTGCCACTGTTCCTTTGTTTCTTTGTCACTGGCATACAGGAAAAATTCAGTGGGTTCTGGAGAAAGCTGAAAGCTTCTAGCTGCATATACCACACCATCTTCACCAATTCTGAAATCTGCTGGTGCGCTGCTTTCAAAATGGACTTTTCTGCTTGCTTCACAGTTTCTAAATCTTACTGCAAATACATAAAACACAACAGCTATAATGAAAAAGGTTTTTAAACCCTTATATAATGAATAAATTGTTGTAGATAAGTCAACTTTATCGTTGGTTAATTTTAAGTATGAAAAATAAAGCATGATTTTTAATTAAGTTTCCCTACTGATTTGTTTTATGCAAACCCTGGTACATTAAGGTTAGTTTTAAATAGTATATAATTTTTTATTTGTTTCATAACTAAACAAAGCATTATATAACAATTGCTTTATCATTACTTTCCAATTTTTCTTCAAATATTTCTGAAACAATTGCCTTCTACCTTTTCTGCTCTAGAACATGAAAGCCTGAAGTTTGGTATCCTTTGGACCATTAATTTGCAAATCTCAGATTACAACAATGCAAAATATAAGAATACTTTAAATGATATAAAGTACCTGTTGGGGTATTATTAGTTGTAAATAATATTGCCGATTTGCCTCTCAATTTGAAGAATTGTTCTTCCTCAACAAATATTATATTTCAATTAAAAAAATCTTGAAAATTCACCTTAACATTGTTCAATATATTCTGAGAAAAGTAGAACCACATCTATAGTAATTTACATGACTGCTTATGAGCAACTAGCTGTATAACATAGTGGTCAAAGCACCAACTAACAAGAACTACCAAAAGACATAAAAAGCTTTAAATACAGAACCTATAAATTGCATGTCTATGGAGAGTCTCAGTCATCCAGGTCATAGCTGATCCAAAGGTGCTTTTTCAAGAGGCAACTGGACTGTCTTTTTTTTTCTTTGAAGATGTTTTGCTTCTCATCCAAGAGGCTTCTTCAGCTCTCTGAAGAAACTTCTTGGATGAGAAGCGAAATGTCTTCAAAGAAAAAACAGAAAGTCCAGTTGCCTCTTGAAAAAGCACCTTTGAGATATAAATTGCATGCCACTACATTAGTTAACATATTTTTTCTTCTCCTTTCCTTCCCTTTAAATTATGAAACTAATAGTTTTCTTCAAATAGACCTGAAGGAGTCTCATAGGAGTATATGAATATAATTTGGACAATCACTAACTGGATTCCAGAATTTATCTGAGAAAGCTTAAGAAATGGATATCACAATGTTTCTAGCTAGTATCTTCCTTATTGATATTCTTTCTTGAGGCAACTAGGTGCTATAAAATTCAAGTATCTTGCTGAAAATTTATAAAACTGACAGTGTCCTCGGGAAATCATTCTCTGCAAGCAGTCATGTTAAAAGACTTCCGTCTGTGTATGATTGTGTATGCATAGATGGAGGGATAATACAACATGTTATTTAGGTGATTTTTAGGCTACTGCTGAGAAATTGGGTTTGTAAAGAACTTGGATCCGTTAACAAGCTCATATTCTGCTTTTAAGAGAAAAAATATCTTTTAAATTATTATTATTGGTTATATTTTATATTAACAAATCCCCTTGTAGAAAGTCATTATTAATGCTGTTATTTTCCTAAATTGATGAAAAGGATGACACTTTATTCACAGTATTGTGACATTTGTCTTTAGCTGCACTGCAATTTAAATGCATCACTCAGAAAGCAATAAAAACAATTTTTCACAGTAAAAAATAAAAATGCCTATAAAGAATACCCAAATAAGGTAAATTATAAAATATAAGCCAATGTAATTTAATTTGTTTTTGTATTTTTGGTGGGTGCACGTGGAACCAGGTTATCTTTTGGGAGTCCATCATAATTTCAAATAGTTACTGAGTGACCAACCATTAAAAAAAGACTACCTGAATAGAGACATCAAGAAGCAGTTTTTTTGGAAATAGTACTGAAATGTAAATAGCAATAGCAATAGCAATAGCAGTAGACTTATATACCGCTTCATAGGCCTTTCAGGCCTCTCTAAGCGGTTTACAGAGAGTCAGCATATTGCCCCCAACAATCTGGGTCCTCATTTTACCCACCTCGGAAGGATGGAAGGCTGAGTCAACCCTGAGCCGGTGAGATTTGAACCGCTGACCTGCTGATCTAGCAGTAGCCTGCAGTGCTGCATTTAACCACTGCGCCACCTTGGCTCTTAAAGTCAAGGGACTGAAATAGCATTGTTCCCTACTCCCTTTATTTCCCCCCCATGCCCTTAAAATTTTCTGGCAATTAAATATTTTCCTCTCTCATTGTTGGACTTTTATTTATCTGCTCATTTAAAAGGGAAATGCCCCTTCCCATATAGAAAGATAAAAATTCTTAGTTTTCTAATTACAAGGAGGGAAGGATCAAGCTACACGAAATATTTTAGCAGAAAGTTCTATGCAGTGAGTTATGTGAACAAGAATTCAATACATACCTGGGATACATAAAAACAAATTATCCAATTAGTGAAAAATGATGTGTTGAATCATGTTTTGATAGGGTATTTATACAAATGTTTCACCATGGACGTATGTTAAGTGTAGCTATCAGACCAAAAATTAGCTATATAAATATTTCTTGCATTTTAAAAATAGGTAACTGTAAGTAAATCAGGATTAATTATTTTTATCTTGCGAGATCACAATTCTGTGGGTTATTGTGATCCCTTTCCCTTATATGAAAACCATAATGGAAAGTCAACTAATAATGGGAAAAAATATTTATTCAGTTACGCTATATGTCCTAATTTCCTTGGGTTATTATATAAGGTCCTCTATTTTTGTTCATAATTGTGATTGAAATTGTGGTTGCTAAGGAATGCAATCATTAACCTAATCATCTGACCAGATCTGTTTGACCATTTTTTTCCATTGGTGTTAAGCAAATCACTGAATCATGTGGTCATTTCCCCAATTTCTGCCGCTTATTGGAAACTGGCTGAAAAAGTTGCAAATAGTGATCAAATGCCCATAGAATAATGCAATTGGCGGTGAAATGTGGTTGGGTTGCAAAGTGCCTGAATTGCAATCACATGATCATGGGGTGGAAAATGGTCATAACTTTGAGGAGAAATTGTAAATCACTTTTTCAAAGATTGTCATAACTTTGAATTGTCAATAAATGAGTGGTTGTTAAGTCAAGGACTACCTATATTTTATTAAATCTGATGTGCAACAACACACCATATGTACTGAAGAGCAAAGTGTGAAGTACTGTATTTTTCGGAGTATAAGATGCACCAGAGTATAAGACGCACCAAGATTTTGAAGAGGTAAATTTTAAAAAAAGTTTTTGCACTCTGCAGGTCTCCCAAACCCACTGCACGCATCGTTTTGTGTGAAAAATGAGGCATGCAGAGAGTTTGAGAGGCCTGCAAAGTGCTCTTAGGGTTGGGGAGGAGGTGAGCAAAAACGAGGAAAAAAAGGTCAGTTTTTTGCAAAACCCTGGCTTTGGGAGGCTTGTAGAGTGTTCCAGGGGGTTGGGGTGGGGCAAAAATGAGCAAAAACCAGCCCATCTTTTGCTCATTTTTTCCTCTCCCCAACCCCCAGGAGCACTTTGCAGGCCTCTCAAAGACTCTGCACGTCCATTTTTGTGAAGGAGGGGGGATTTCGGGAGGTGAAAAATTCTGTATAAGACACATCCAGATTTTCACCCTCTTTTTTTTGGGGAAAAGGTGCATCTTATACTCCGAAAAATATGGTATGCAATCTCATTTATAGTAAGTTGAAGAAATAAACTATGAACATATATTTCTAATTATATAAATAATTCATAATAGTTATACATTTGTAATCTCGTATATTTCACTAATAATCTTCAATTAAATCGTTTCATTTATCAGGCAATTACCATTATAACAGTGACACTTAACTGTGTTACCATGTTGCATCCCAACCACAATTCAAATTGTTTGAATTCTAAAGTTCCTTAGCTCTTTAGCTCCTTCATTTTTTATTATTTTCTCTATTTTGTGTTTCCACCAATTCTTGCTTGCAGACAAATGGTATTTCTCGCAGAAATGTCCCATTTGTTATGATGTTGTTTGTAATCAGGAGATGCGGTGGCTCAGTGGCTAAGACGCTGAGCTTGTTGTTAGAAAGGTTGGCAATTTGGCGGTTTGAGTCCCTAGTGCCGCATAACAGAGTGAGCTCCCATTACTTGTCTCATGTTGTATTCACTGCTAGCCAACCTAGCAGATCGAAAGCACGCAAAAAATGCAAGTAGAAAAATAGGGACCACCTTTGGTGGGAAGCTAACAGTGTTCCATGCGGCGTTTAGTCATGCTGGCCATATGACCACAGAGACCGCTTCGGACAGCGCTGGCTCTTAGGCTTAGAAACGGAGATGAGCACAGCCCCGTTTGTAATCAGACTGCTTGATCTTCTTGCAGTAAGTAACTAGCTGATCCATTGTTTCTTCAGCTTCTTTGTAGACATTGCTATTTGCTATCTGCTATTATCTTCTCAAATCTGGCATTATTTTTTCTATTATATTATTACTATGGCCTCCTTTTATATATTTTGATCAACTCAAAGTGAAAGACCTGTGGTGGTGTAGTTGTTAGAATGCATTATCTCAGGTTAACTCACTGCTTACTCCAAGAGTTCAATTCTGAGAGGCTCAAGGTTGACTCAAGCCTTCCTTACTTCTGAGGTTGGTAAAATGAGGACCCAGATTGTTGGGGGAAACAGGGTGACGATGTAAACCACTTAGAAAGGACTGTAAAGCACTGTGAAGCGGTATATAAGTCTAGGTGCTATTGTTATCCAAACACTCATGCCTTCTATTTTTCTCATAAAAACAACCCTGTGAACTGAGTTGAATTGAAAGAAAATGAGTGGCCCAAGGTCACCAAGCCAGCTTTCATGCTCAAGGCACTCACAAGCTCTTGGTTTCTAGGCCAGCATCTCTTACCTAAAAAGACTGGGAATTTAAAAAACTAACAGAAATGCAACAAAACAAGTATTTAAGAAGAGAAATACTGGTGGCTACTATTAGCAAGCATGGACTATCAGGCTCCCTATAAGAAACTTGAATTTGCCTGAAGCTTCACATAAACTTGAAATAACATTAAAGTTGATTCCCAACATGATATCCTCTTGGATTTAACCTGCGGTCCCCCTACCCCATGTTTTCCACGAATAAATAGCAAACTGGTATAAGATTTCCTATATTCAGATCTATGTGGCAATTGCTTGTATAGATTTTTTGCATTCCTGCCCTAGGAAACTAGCTTCCAATATAAATCCTGGGCATGCATAAAATACACAAAATACTTTGCTGCCTTGCAAAAAATTTAGGACAGTAGCTGACTTGTCCTACACCTTATCTCTCTCTATTTCTTTTTCTTTTTTAAGGCATCAGGAGTATTCAACAATATTTTGTTTTGTTAATATGCTGTTATTGAATTAAATCTTCATAATAATTCAGAAATTAGCTCAATTCTATAGAGATTATTTTGCAGGTAAGCACATAAAGTATAGGATAAAATTAACTTTGTTTAACATCTTCTAAATATGTTGGGACTGCAACTCTAAAAATTATTAGGCAAACTATTTGAAGAGCCTGGTAGCTAGCAATTTAATGACGGTTAACAGTAGCAATACATGTGGAAAATACTGTTCAACAATGGTAAATGAATTGAACAATGTAATTAATTTGCACCAAAACTTTTGGCAAGTATTTATGCCACCTTAGAACAATAATTTCACCAATTATTACATTACACCATTTTGTTTCCCAAGAAGGTGTAATGTAACAAAAATTTAAGGCTTATTGTATTAATAGAATATACCTTAAAAAAATCAATGCAATCAGTATGGTCACTGTAAAACTTGGTTAGAATGTCTGCCTACAATTTATAGAAGGTACTGAAGGCACAAGTTTATTTAATTCATCAAAATTACATTTCAAGATTTGGAGTCTTGATTTTACATTATGTTTTGCAATCATTTTTTTAAAAAACATTCTAGTTAATGCTATTCCCCTATTCCTCAGCTAATCAAATCAACATAAATGGTCTATTTTTAAAACTACCTATAAGGTAAAGTACAACTTAAAAAATGTTTAGTGAATCTCATTTACACATTTTTACTAAAACGTTCTATTTAATTTCACTTCCATGATCCTCTTTGCTTACTGAACAGTCATAATAAGCATGCCAGAAAGAAAATGGGGATAAAGTTACTTCTGTTTCATAGAAATGCCTATGCAGCTCTTTAAAATAGGAATAGTGACAGTCAGCAAAAACACAGATTAGGTAACTCCAACACAACCCAAATTATATTCGATTCAATGATTCTTTTCAAGTTTTGCCACTCCCACTCACTGACACAAAATCCTTCATAGTATTCACTCTTCTTTTGCCTTCATTTCAGTGGAAAAATATAACAGAAAGGGCTAAGCATCTTAGAGGAAATAATATGTTTGTATTTAGATAACAGCTTTTATTTTCCAATGCAAATATAATAGAGAGAATCCAGCCCCTCTTGGGCTATGGAAGTTATTTAATAAACAGATGGCAAGCAGAAATCTGTATACTCTTATGGAATTCTATTGAAGCCACCAAAATTAAAAGAAGAGGGACAAAATAATGCAATTCTATAAAAATGAGCATCAAAATAATCAAAATTACTTTCTTTGAATGTACAATTCTGATTAATAAAACGTTAATACTAAATATTAATAGTTTATTAATACAGATAAAAAAACTACTTTGCACCCAAATATGTCCAAGGCTATTCCACTTATACAACAAAGTTAAATGATAAAACAAAAATAGTCTGAAGACATACAACAGTAATTTTAATACCAATAAAATCAACCAAATTTAATGAAAACCTGCTGAAATAAATATCTATTTAACAATTGATGATCAACAATTACAACAACAAGGTGCCAAAGAGACTCCTGCATCAGAAAATTTCAATTCTGAGCATTTATTTAAAAAAGGCTGTAAAATTTATATCATTCATATTATGGATTAGAAAGCCAAAGTAGTTGTTAATGAACTGGGCTAGAAAATGGAAGACCATGAATTCTAGTTCTGCCTTAGGCATGAAATCACTTGGGAAACCTTGGGCTTCCTTTTATTGCACTGGTTGATAGTAGATTAAGGTGACCAGATGTCCCGCTTTGGGGGGACAGTCCCGATTTTTAATAATTTGTCCTGCGGCGTTTTTAAAAAGTCCCGATTTTTTAAAAGAATGCACGACAAGCTAGGGAATGGCAGGAGAATGGGAAGGGAGAGGCTTCATTGCTCAGGGGAACTGAACCAGCAATTCGTAGACAATCAAACCAGGGGGCTTAGCTGTTTCCCAGGCGTGCTGCTTCGGGAGGAGGGGGTTACTGGTTGGAGGTCTGCGAGGGGGGATCCCCGCGCAAGCCGCTGGAGGAGGAAAGAACGGAACCTTGTGCCAGTAGGGGAGGGGCTTCTGCTTCTCCTCTCGCCGAAGGCGGCCCAGCGCCCAAGATCAGAAAAAGAGAGAGAGAGGTGG